TGTAAGGAGGGAACTAGAAACCAAGTTTTGCATGTGACTGAGACTGGAGAGTCTGGGGGTGCCCAGCCTACAGCAGAGCAGACCCATGGGTCACAATCTTTGACTCCAAATCTGTCAGGCTTTCCTGAGCAGGGGACAGGACTCCGTGGCCCCAGGGACAGCCTGGAGACCCATAGGTTTAAAAGAGGCTGGCCTTGACCCAATGGGATGAAGGACTTTTATCTACGCAGAGCCATGCTACATAGGCATCGGCCACCAGGAGACAAGGAGGAAGTAAGCTGCCTATCCCTAAGGGTGTGAAAGAATGGACGAAGTGCCCATCTTTCAGAGAGTCCACAGATGGGAGTCCTGTACCGGGGTCCAGGCTTCAGCTACAGGTTTCACCCTTGCATGTTCTTGGCTTCGGTTTTCTCCCTCATTCCCATGGCCACCCAGTCCTGTTTCCACGAATGGGCGGCAGGGGTGGACTCGCTCCCTGAATGCTCACTTGGCATTGCTGTCCCCAAACCCCAGCCTCCCTCTGATCCCTCCCACTGCTCAAGAATGAAGACACATCTTGGTCACAGAGATCCATTTCTGCTGTTGGACATCAGAAGCTGCTGATTCCAAACATTATAATCCCCAAATTGGGTTAATTGTCCTTTAACCCTTAGGCACTCCTCATCCCAGTTCACACACTCTCAGCACCACCTATACCCGGCCACACAGCCACAGATTTCCACATCTCTGCAGGAACACCCAACATGCCTTCAGATACCTCCAGGCACACACACAGGTGCAGCTACTTCCTTATGTGTTCACAGGGCCAGGACTTAGTAACAGCTGCACACACAATATACACATAAGCTGGCGTGGCCTTTCGAGGTCAATTCTGCAGACTAAAGAAGGGAGAAAGGGCTCATGTCCCAAATAATCTCCAAATTAAGTCTGCCAACCCAGGCTCCTCAGGCTGAGGCTCCCAGGGCAGGACCCCAGAAGGTGGTGCTGATTTAGGTCTGTTCCTGCCTGGAGGTGGGGGGATTAGGAGGTGGAGGGTAGTCGAGCTGAGCCCTGTGGGGCCTTGACCTCCAGTGCAGTTTGATTAAGTATATGCCATAGAAGTTAGAGAAGTGGGGCCAAGCTCTGCTATGGGGGCAGAAACTCTTCAAAGCCATAATCTTGGGACAGCTAAGTCTTCCATTTGACAGATGAGGAAACCAAGACTCAAAGAGAAGGAATGTCCCATTGGTGGTCAGCCAGCCCATCAGGCAGCACCAGGTCCACAGCACAAATCTCTGCCTGTCCAGCCCCAGTCTGGCTCCTGCTCTGCACCCGCCCCCCAGCTCCCTTCCCAGGGGGCTTAGAGAGAATAGTCTGTCCTTTGTTCCAATTGGTGGGCACCTCCACCTGCCCTTTACTGGGATTGGGGAATGCCCTGACCTGTCCTTTACTGGAATTGGTGGGTGCCTGTCTGGCCTTTGTTCAGATTGGTCAGCTTTCTATGACTTTTCAGACGAAGGGCAGGATAATGGTGGTGACGGGGGCACAGGAAAGGAAAGTTGGGGCAGCAGCAGAAAGGGGCTTCACATCCTTGGCCATCGTCCTTGGCCAGAGTGGGCAGGAAGCAGACATGGCTGATGAAGCCTGAGGCTCTCTGCCTGGCATCCTTCTGTCCATCTGCCTCCTGGCCCAGCCCTGCCCAGCCTGCCCCAGGAGGGGGGGTGCTGGGAAGACCACTTTCATACCTGACTCTCAAAGGGGCCTTCAAGCTTGCTCAAATGCCACCTCCTCCCTGTATCCTTCCCAGATCTCCAAGCAACTTCACCTCCACTGCATCAACTCAGGGAAGGAAATAGCTCAAATTCCAAAGCCCATGATGCAAAGGACTCAGAGAGCAAAGTGGCTGCCTCCGTGAAGGGAGAATCAGTGGAGCAGCTGAGAATGCACACGCCTCTGTCCAACACGCATGCACACAGCTTCACACAAACAAGCACGCACATAGATAAAAACACAGCCACA